CAATCAGTCATGAGCAGCCCACAAGCATGGCAATGCCAATTGCGATGATTTCCAACTCCAGCATCCAGGAAATGGGCCGCTAAAACCGGACCAATTGGCGCTTGGGTAGCGAGTTTGGTGGCCTCGTGATTACACGTGTCAAATAGCAAACCCTTCTCTGTTATGTGGATTATGACTTTCGTTTTTGGACCATTATGGATTTTCGGCATTATTATTTTAATTCCTAGGACAAGGAATGAGCTATAAATTAATTGGACCGACTGAGAGTACTTCTATCTCAATGTGCCGTAAGGACAAACACTATTCACATAAATAGTGACTGTATTATCAATTTTTTGATGCATTCCTATCTATTGTCATGGCAATCCAAGAGTAACCACTATTTACATGAGATATAAGGAGAGGAATTTGTATGGATTTTGGTGTGAGAAGTGAAGAACATGGCTAGGTATTTAAAGAAAAAAGATTATGAATTTTTTGATATTTTTTTGGTATTTAAATTAGCCGCTAACGTCAGCTTGCCCAAACAGCAACCTAGGCAAGTCTTGCTTTCAGGCTCGTCCAGTTTTGTGGGCCCACTTCTTGCCATGACAACTTTTCTTTTATGGAGTTGTTTTTGAAAGCAAAAAGATGATGGATGGAAGTGCTCTCATAGTCATAATCATAATCATGCATCCAGGGACGGTACTACTAACAAGTTAACCTAGGCTATACCCCAGGAGACTTGTTTTTTTAAAGACTAAAATAATACCATAACCTAGACCAATCCTATTAACTAATCCCCACTGGGCTGGCTAACCAACCAAAAAAAAACCCAACACTCTTATCGATTGGCTGCACCAGTTCCAAGGCTGTTTCTTCTCAACTCTACAGAGGTCTTTTTTCTCCACCTTTGTATTGGGCTATTGTTTTTTGGGGAATTCTGATAACAATTATGCTAATTTGGAAAATGACTATTTTGAATATTTATTATTTTAAATATATGTTATTTTAATAGCGGTATCAGATACAGGGTTTTTGAGGGGTAAGGCTTATTATGTCCCTTGTTATGGAGTTACAATAGTATTTCAGTTACAATAGTTAATCATACTTATGATAGGAAATGGTCAGTTGTCAGTTACATTGTTATTAGGCCATAACTCCATATTTATGTTTGTGATCATGACTTGTTGTAACTGTAGATTATTATCTACAGACTTTATATATATATTGTATAATGATCATATGAATAATATAAGGGAAAATCAGTTTCTACATGGTATCAGAGCTAATGGCTAACGCCAATTAGCGATCCTTCATTTGCCAACATTGATAGTCGTTGGCTCTCCTCGCCTAAAAGGGTGTTTGCGTATGTATAGTTCTCCATCTTCTCCTCCCTTCTATAATCAGTAATTTTTTTTTCTTTCTCTCTGCCGCTGCCATTTCCTTTTATTTTTCAACGCTCCTTGTCAAGCTCTCTGCTCATTGATGAGCCTTTATCTTTCACTCTCTCTGTGTCTAGCTCTCTGTTGATGATTGAGCCATTTCTCATTCTTATGCTCTTTATTGAAGATTGAGCCTCGCTCGCCAAGCCTTATCCTAGTCGGCCTTTGTCTGTCCTGCTGTGCTTCACTGTCGTTTGTCCCTTTGAACTCTCTCTCTCTCTCTCTCTCTCTCTCTGTGGTATCGACCTCTCACGCTTTATCTATGCTCAACCTGTGTTCTTCTCCCCTCTTAAGCCCAATCTCTTTCTTTGATTTTACTGTTGGTCTGTCTTCTTCAATGTTGTCTTGCACTGCCTTTCTTCTTCTCTGTTACAACGGTATTGTTTTCTTTTCTTTATAATTCTTTTATGTTACTGGGGTATTCTCTTATCTTCTTTTCAATTGTGTTGTCTCTCTCCCTGTCATGGGTTGTCTCTGCCATCTTGAGTTTCCTTTCCTTTTCATGGGTTGTCTCTTGCCTCTTGTTCTCTCTCCCTCTCTTGCCTACTTTCTCCTTTTGATGGATGTTACCTTTTCTCATCTCTTTCTTTCTTTCTTTTTTTCCGTCTTTATTTTGAAAAGATTTTAACTCTATGTGTTTTTCCTACACTCTCTTTTCCTTTCTCTGTCTCACTTGGCAAGTGTTTCTTCTCTCTGTTGTGGTTTTTTTTTTCTTCCCTATCCCTTTACTTTTAAAATTGTGTTTCTCTCTCTTTGTGCACGACTTTCTGGCCTTTCCGACTTGATGATGGGTTTCACTTCCCCATCCCTTTATTTTCCCACTTATCGCATGCTCTTTATCCTACCTAGAGGTGATTCCTAGGTAGAGTTATGTTTCTCAGGTGCCTAGAGTTGTTCCCTAGGTACATTTGACTTGTATGTCAGCCCTTCATTTTATTCCCTCCTTCCATGAGCCCATGCGCTCCTTCACTTGCCGCCTCTTACTGGGCATTATTTTTATTTTTATGTTAGTTTGTTTCTCTCAAGCCGTTGTTGCACCTATGGAGTTCTTCTTTTTTGTTTCCCTTACTAGACTACTACAGACGACTGCTACTGCCATCTCCATCACCATGTGGTTTCTTCATTCAAATCTTGTTATACTGTGCGCACTCGATTTGCGGGGGAGTGTTATAGAGTTACAATAGTATTTCAGTTACAGTAGTTAATTATACTAATGATAGGAAATTGTCAGTTGTCAGTTACGTTGTTATTAGGCCATAACTCTATATTTATGTTTGTGATAATAACTTGTTGTAATTGTAGATTATTCTCTGCAGACTTTATATATATATTGTATAATGACCATATGAATAATATAATGGAAAATCAGTTTCTACATCCCCCATGTATTTTTTTGTTATCAATGAAATTCATTTGTACCATCGAGTTTTCAATAAGTTTATACGTAAGGTTAGCCCACATCATTTTCAAATCCTGAGTCCGTCCCTGCATGCATCCATAGCTGAAGTTGAGACACAAGACAATACTTACTCTTCCACGTAACTGCAATAAAATCATTATAGGCTAATTTCTTTTGTTTTTTTGTAAAATACATTAAATCAATTCATATAATGCATATATAACGTGGCCCATACTTATCTGTATGGCCGTGTAATGCGGGTTTGCCTTTTCAGATTGGTAAATGGATCTCCTTTATTTAACGTGTGGAACCTTTTGATCACCAATAAAAAAAAAAGAGTGTGGAACCTATGGTAAATAACTGTATATCTTTTACAGTCAAGAGAAGGAAAGCATAAAATAAAAAAAACTGTATATGTGGACAAAAAATTGGACAAAATGTACATATCAGTTTCTTTCAAAAGCTACCAATAGCCAATGTATATCTATAAAAATAGGTGGTCAAGGGCTGAATCATTAAGGATTGGATTTAGTTAAATTTTAATTAAAAATAAAAAGGTCAGTCGAAAATCAATATGGAGAAGCATGGATTTTTCATGGCCTATAATCACTTTTGGAACAGCTAAACTAAAAACTAGTTGGTTTGTAAATAATTATTTGAATTGTTCTATAATGTTATAAGTTACAAATTACTTTATGGGAAATTTCAAGTCATGGGACATTATTTTAACTTCATTCACTATGGTATGTATTTTGTGTTGCCTCACATTTAAAAGGAATAATAACACATTATATTGAAAATAATAATAATAGTTTTCCTTAATGATAGGAATATAGTTTGAAGAATTAGAGTCCAAAAATTGAAATTGAGAATAGTAAATTTTTATTTCAAAACATACCTTAAACAATCATGAAACTTGTCCTAGAATGAAAATTTGATACAGAGAGACTTTAACTCCATAACACAGGAAATATGTTTACTCACCACTTTAACCAAAAGTGCCCTCACAATCATTCTCAATACTTGGCATGTGTCTATTAACATAATTATAGTTGACTCTTTACTTTGTATTTGAGAAACCATGGTTATGCACATAGACACGTGTTAAGTATTGAAAATGATAATAAGGGGTACACCTTAGCAGAGGCGGAGGGAGCTAAGGCCTAGAGTGAGCATGTGTCCCCTTTCAAATGTTTTTTGAGGCAATGGTCTTATAATCTTATTAATACAATCATACTTTTTTAAATCAAATTTTAAAGTGTCTCTTCTTTTCTTTATATTTTTCTTCTTTTCCTTTCTCATTATCAGTGCTACCCTTTTCAAATTTCTCATTGTCGTACTTTGACTCTAGCTTTTGTAGTGATAAATTACCGTCCAAATTTTCTTAGTGTGTATCTTTAATAAAGTACATTGCATTTGATTTTTTTTTAGAATCGATGATGAGTAGATAGTTAAAGTACATTGCATTTGATTTTTTGTTAGAATCGATGATGAGTAGATAGTTAATGTAACATGTAAATTAATGGAGTATATAAATTAAAATCAGGAAATTTGTATCGAGTGAAAAATTAGTTTGATTGTTACCCTAAAAAAAATATATTTCAACATATAAAGTGCCCCTCTGTGCAAATTTTTTGACTCCATCACTGCACCTTAGGTTAAATTGGTGAGCAAAAATGCTCTCGCATAACGCATATTAAGATTTCACACAACTCATTAATAAATCACAACTACATTTATTCACTTATCTTCAAATTATTTCCAAAATGGGAATTAACAAAAAGACAAAATCATTACTTATTTGTAAGGTTGGACGTTGTAGCCTTTGTGTGGGTGACGTCTTTGTTCATTGCTTTGTTTATGTATTCGGTTGTCCCTGATTGTCCTGCTTACTGGTTGGGACTATCCCTCTGCTTTGTTCTTGTTTCCGGGGGTTTTGGCCTCCGTTAATTAAATATCATTTTCGAAGTAAAAAAAAAAAACAAAAAGACAAAATCAAACGGCACCTGAACGTGTAGCGACACTGCAAGTGCAATTTCGAAAGGAAAAAAGGGCAAAAATGGAAAATGGAAAATGAAAATAAAAATATGAGAAATTCTTAAAAGAAAAAGGAAAAACTGAAAAATCCCAAAGAAAAAGGACACTGCTTGAAACCAAGCACCTGAGAGTACGACATTGCGTAATTTTGCCCGGTACATATATATATACAGAAGAAGGCTCACTCACACGCCTTGTTACCCTTCTGGTTCCTACACAGATTGTCCTCATTTGCTCCACTTCCTCTTTGTCATTTCCTCTCAAACCGTTCGCTTCTCTCTCTCTCTCTCTCTCTCTCTCTCTCTCTCTCTAGGGTTTGAGTTTTCAAATCCTAATTTGACCCGGCTTCAATGGCAATGCTCGGGTGCCGATCACACTCAGTTCGCGCATTGTTTAGGTTGTGATCTCCGGCCGATCGCGTCCGGTAGGCATCGGTTCGATTCGCCGCCATGTTTGAAGCACACGTAAGGCTATTTGTTCTTCTTCTTTCGGTTTTAATTGTTAACGCCATGAATTTGACTGTCTTGGTGCTCTAGTTTGATATATTTGATCGGGTTAACTTGTTTAATTCTTGAAATTTGACGAAATTCATTTATTTATTGGCTTTGCTGGATTCGTATTACTTCCTATATGATTTTTTCTGTTTTCCAGGTATTATGTATATCTAAGTGATTAGTCAAAAGAACTCAGTATTATTATTAATTTTAAGCCTTCATTATGTGAATTGGCTGGCGTGACAGCGGAGAACTGGCTTCTTTAGAATGTTTAAGCCCTAAGAGTGTAATAGGAAGTGATTGTTCTTTCGGTTAAGATAAGCAATGGGTTGAGCATGTTGGGATTTTTGATGGCTAGCACTCCGCAAATGACAATGCAATGGGTTGAGCATTTTGAATTTCCAAGTTTCACATACTTATAGTGTGATTTTTTTTCATTTTAATGAAACCTATTTTAAAGACCAAATGAAGTTGCTCAAAAGTTGATAAACCCAATGCTTGACACGACACATAAGAATGATCATGATGAATAGTTTGGTTCGAGAGCATCACCCACTCTCTCTCTCTCTCTCTCTCTCTCTCTCACACTCTATACACTATTGGTATGCGCGTGATGAAGTTGCTAGAATGAAAACATTGAGAGTGGCAAGAAAAGAATGCTTAGAATTCAAAACTGGATGTATTTTTTAACTTAAAAATCGTTGGAAGATTCGAGTTCAGACTGAAAATGATATATTATGAAGTTTTTTTCCTAACTTATAACTCCAAGGTTTTAAGTTTATAAAAAACATTGTCACAACCATGTATACAATCTTAACACGCTTACCTACAATCTTAACATACTTGCCATCAAGTCTCCTCATAAGTGGTGAGACACAAAAGGTTAGGAGTGGAAAGGATGCGTTAAAAGCAAATCAAAGTTCAATCACGATGGACCTGCGATGCACTGAGCTGACAGAGATACAATTAATGAAATTCACTGACTGCCTAAGAAACAATAGTATTCCAGTTCATATTCCGCAGAACATAGGGATATCTCTGAAATAATTGGAAATTCTTAGTCCCATAAGAATATCACTTCCCCGATTTTGGCTTGAAGAGCCTGTATTCCAAAATCTCTGCATGTAATATAATTTTGTGTAAGTTTTATAATGTAGTTTAGATTTAGATTAAAATCTTGCCCCTGCTTGCAATTTTTCTTTCTTGATAACAAAAGTTATGTTTACCAAATGAAAAAACGGATTTACGTTTCAACACTAACGAACATCATGTTTGATCGTATCTAGCAGCTCTACATGAAATGATAACTTATAATGCTTTGTTGGTAGGTTCTGCACTTGCTTCGAAGATATTTGGGGGAATATGTCCATGGACTCTCAGTTGAAGCTTTAAGAATCAGTGTCTGGAAAGGTCTGTATTATGACTTTAGTGGGCTTGAGCCGCGTATTTTCTCATCCTTCCTACCTAATTATTTAAGATTACTACATTTGGTCATAATGTTTGTGGAACTTTTAAGCAATGTGGTTACCGTCTTTGCAAAATGTACTGGCATACAGTGGTTTAAAATGACTCGCTGATGTGGCCCTTTTTTCAAAATAATGGTTGGTGTTTTTCTTTTCCATAGGACTCTACACTCATATCTTTCCTCAAATTAACAGGTGATGTTGTTCTAAAAGATTTGAAATTGAAAGCAGAGGCCCTAAATTCACTAAAACTTCCAGTCACTGTGAAAGCTGGTTTTATTGGTACCATTACATTAAAGGTAGAAACTTCTTCACTACTTGCTCACTGGTTGGGTTTTGGTTCTTAATTTCCATTAATCTTATGGTCCCTTTCTTTTTGATGTCCTAAATTGCATTGTTTCTCTTATAAATCATAGGTTCCCTGGAAAAGTTTAGGCAAAGAGCCTGTGATTGTTCTCATTGACCGTGTATTCATTCTTGCTTATCCACTTACTGATGGCCGGACTCTCAAGGTAGGGTGATCTTTCTTTTGTGTGAAAAAATTATATTTCAATTGCATATTGTTGGATGTCTCTTTTCTTATGTCCTAAGATCGTCTTGTTTTACAATTACTGTCATCATCATCGTCATCATCATCAATTTGATAATTCTACTTATTAATTTTGTTTTGCAGGAGGACAGGGAAAAACTATTTGAAGCAAAACTTCAACAGATTGAGGTGAAATTTATGTACATGTAATTGTGTCTATATATGCTCTGTCAATGTATGGTTTTGATGGACATCTCATTCATCCCACTTGTTATATTGTCTTTATTAGTAAAATTTGTGTTTCTTATAAAAATACTGGTAAAAGGAGCAAAATAGAAAATTCATATTGCAAGGTTTAGAACTGGAAGAGCTTTGAATTTGACAGTATAGTATGGGTCTATGACTGGCCTAGTTATCCTATATAAGGAGGTAGATAATTAAGATTAGTTGATGTAGAAAAAAAAAAAGATTCGGGAAAAAAATGCATACAACACCTATGTTCTGTTTAGTGGGTTTTCTTATACATTCAAATTGAAGTGTTCATTGGTCATGGTATATGAAAGTTTTGATTTATTTATTTATAAATATTATGTTTCGATAAAATTTGCATTTTCACACGGGAAGTTTTCAGATTTAATCCCAAGTAAAATATTTAGAATTTTTTTCTTCTTCTTATATTGCGTGCAGGAAACAGAGTCAGCGACTCTTGAAGCAATATCAAAGTCAAAGCTAGGAAGTGTATGGTTCTTAATTTTATTGATCTTTCACTTTGGGACTCTTTTATTGGTTGAACTTAATATGCATCCTGAACGGTTTTTGTAACCCCTCTCGTATATTTTGTCTTGCTTCTTTCAGTATTAGTTGTCGTTGGAGTTGCCTGTGGTATATGTTTGTGGCACATATTAGTTAGACCCACATTTTTCTTTTATGATCTTTTTTTTTATAAGAAACACAAGACCTGCCCAAAATTCTCGTATATTTTTAAGTGAGGTAACCTAGCTAAAAATAGGTTTTGGATGAGGCCACAAACAAGATCAATCTTCTTGGCATGTAGTTCTCTCTCTCTCTCTCCCTCCATCTCTCTGCCTTTCCACGTGAGGGAGGATAACAATTAAGATGTTGGGGCTTGTCATTGTGTAAGACTATTATCACAATTTGTGATTTATTCTTCCATTGTATTTAAGTTTTAGGAATGGAGATCTTTCTTTGAGCTTTCTCTTGTGTACTTCTGATGTAGTCATTTTTCTACTTGGTTCATTGATATACTTATCATTGTTTACTGAGTGAAATAGATGGTATAGTTTCGTTCCCATTGTTTGGCACAAAATTTATCGGTTTGGTTGACAGCTGACTGTTTTGCAGCCACCTCCTGGAAATTCATGGCTAGGTTCCCTTATTGCTACCATTATCGGAAATTTAAAGATATCAATTAGCAATGTACATATTAGATATGAGGACTCAGTCAGGTTTGTAAAAATGTGCTTCCTTTGTTTCCTTGAAAGTCTGATATCTTTATTAATTTTGTTTACGCTCAACTCAGTTTATTTCTACTTTTCTGTCTGGATAAATTGTATTCAATTTGAACATGCTCTTTGTGTGCTTCTAAAAACAACTGTTTGTTTTGTAGTAATCCAGGGCATCCATTTTGTTCGGGTGTAACTTTGGCTAAGCTTGCTGCTGTTACGATGGATGAGCAAGGGAATGAAACATTTGATACAAGTGGTGCGCTTGATAAGTTGCGGAAGGTTAGCCTAGTCTTTTGTTCTTGTGGACCTTTTCGAGAATGCATCATCTGTGGATCACAATTTCAAATTCCATTTTGTATAATTTTCTTGATTGTTTTGATGTCTATCTGGACCAAGCCACCTAACAAAAGAAGCAAAGCCACACTTAGCTCAACTGAAAAAACCAAAAACTAGCAGCAACACTTTGCACACAACAAGAGACCAATCAAGATGAATCGCACTATAGGGAACATCCCTAAATGCTTAGATAAGGATGTCCAACCCTTGTAGCATTGCTTTGATAATTAACTTTTAACAATGTCTATTGTGTTTTGTGGGTTTTGTATATTTTTTTTGCTTTTACTTGTACATTTAATATTTAATCTTATGTTGCCTACAAATAATCTCCTTGTGACAGTCGTTGCAACTTGAAAGGCTTGCTATGTATCATGATTCAGATAGTGTTCCTTGGAAGATAGACAAGGGATGGGAAGATCTCACTCCCGAGGAATGGGTTCAGGTTTGTTCTTATGCTGCAGTCTTACTAGTCTGTATACTCTTTTATATTAAATGCATCTACTTTTGGTCATGTTGTATATCCTAACCAAATATTGTGTGCAACCAAAAAACCAAATATTGTGTACTTCCTAATAATTTTGCTTTCCTCTTTTCTTTGCATCGATGTTGTACTAGATATTTGAAGATGGTATAAATGAACCTGCTGATGATCGTGGAATGGTGTCTAAGTGGGCTGTAAATCGCAAGTATTTGGTGTCACCTATAAATGGAGCTCTAAAATATCACCGCGTTGGAAATCAAGAAAAAAATGATCCGGAGGTTCCATTTGAGAAGGCTTCTCTTGTCCTTAGTGATGTTTCTTTAACAATTACTGAGGTGTGCAATTTTTCCTTCCTATCCTTTGCATCCGAACTCTCACCTATTCTGCTGCTGAGAAGCAATATCGTTATATATATTTTTCTTAATTCTTGGTGAGAGTTAATAAATGACAATTAATATTCTTTTAGGACCTCTTTCAAATTTTAGTTTCTCTTGTTCCTCCCTCCCTCCCTCCCTCCCTCCCTCCCTCTCAACGTTTTCTTCTAATATGTACTGCTTTTCTTAGCTCTCCAAGGAGGGTTTGAGGTGTTAATTTCTTCTTTTCCACATCCCATAAAATTTCTTCTTTTTCATACTTTCTTGGTAAGCAGCTGCAGTGCTATAACAGATTTTCACTTGTTCTTTTTCAGGCACAATATCATGATTGGATAAAACTATTGGAAGTTGTTTCAAGATACAAGACATATGTTGAAGTTTCCCATCTAAGACCTGTGGTGCCAGTTTCAGAGGGTCCTTATTTGTGGTGGCGTTATGCTGCTCAAGCAGGCCTGCAGCAGAAGAAAATGTGGTAATATATATGTTTCTGTATACTTGATAGAGAATTATGCACGTATGTACATATGTTATTGTCTATGTTTGTAGCATAGGTTGTTTACGGTCTGTTAGGTTGCCTTAATTCAAGGCTTACATGTTAGCTTAATTGTTCTTGTTCTTATTTTCTGAACATATATCTGTCAATGTTATAAACAAAAAATTGGGATTGAGTTCAAGAGTGCTTAACTTTCAGAAGATCTTTATTTTGATAAGCTTAACTTTCAAAAGTTGGGTCAACCTTTTCACCACATGCTTTTGGTACATTGCAAATTGGGAATGCACTTCTATGAATCTCCCCAAGTCGATTCTGACTTTACGGCTGTTTTCCTAATCAGTTACCGATTCTCATGGGACCGCATTCGGAGTCTCTGTCAGCTTCGTCGCCGCTACATTCAGTTGTATGCTGGTTCATTGCAACACTTGTCAAATGTTAATAATGCAGAAATTAGAGAAATTGAGAAAGATCTGGATTCAAAAGTAATTCTTTTATGGAGGTAAATGATTTAAATTGTGCATATATACCTGCTCCTGTATGATTAATTCTATATTTATCTTGCTGTATGCTTCATAGTTATAATTTCAAGTTCAAAGGAACAACACTTGAGTCTGGATTAAATTTGGATTCTATTATTTATATGAAGTGCAAGAGACCTTTCCCTTTTTTTTTTTTTTTTTTCTTCTGATTTTTCAACGTATAGTCTGACAGAATAAGCATACAATTGATCTTCATGGGGCAATTACAGAACATGCTCCCGGAGCCCTTTATTTATAAGAAATTAATTAATAAAGATAAAAAAAAATCAATATAAAAACGCATTAATTTCAAAATACAGGACAAGATGTCAACTGAACTATCTAGAGTATTGAGTTAACCCCATCTGGTATGCTTGGTATGGAATGCACAAAGTGATTAGCTAACGTTCCCTTATATTACTTGAAATGCCAAAGTATAAGACGATCACATGTGATTAAACTTGGAATTTAGTCTTGGGACCTGCTAGGAATTTATTTATATTGTTCAGTTCATATTAATACAAATCGTTAAGTTATATGATTTTGTCTTCAACCCAAAAGTTACCCTTGCATGTCAGAGGTTTTGACGGGGCATAGGGCAGTTTTGTCATGCTTTTGTAAGTATACCGAGATCTATCAATGTTACCCCTCCTTTCAATGTGGTAATCAGATTATCTTATTCTGAATTACTTTACTTGACCATACAGTGTTCAATTTAAACTTTACTTTCCATGGAGGGCGTACCAAAGAGGCATTTAAGGATTTTTAAAGGATTTATATCTTTAGCGTCTCTACATATTTTACTTTCTGGGCTTCTTTGCTGAAGGGACCACTTTTTATGTTCTTGTAGCCTTTCTCTGCTAATATATACTATGAAAACATACATTACATTTGTACTAATTGTATGTTGGGCATGTATCATATAGGTTACTTGCACATGCAAAGGTAGAATCTGTTAAATCCAAGGAAGCAGCTGAACAGAGGTCGTTCCAGAAGAAAGGCTGGTTTTCATTTATGTGGTTAGTCTGATCCCCACCATTGCAATCTCTTTGTGTTCTGTGATTGTTCTTGGCCATGTGCCGTGCTTAAGTTATTTGAACCTCTGTCTTTGTGAAAAATCTGCATGCAGTTTTTATCTATGTACGCCTCCCAATTTGTTTAGTTTCACTTCTTTTTTTCCTTAGGCGTACACCTGCTGAAGGTTCTACTATCATGGATGCTGCTGAGGGATCACAGTTACCGGAAGAAAGACTGACTAAAGAGGAATGGCAGGCAATTAATAAGTTACTGAGTTATCAACCAGATGAAGCATTGACATCACACTCAGGAAAGGACGTGCAGAATATGATCCGGTTTTTGGTAACTGTGTCTATCGGTCAAGCTGCTGCTAGGATCATTGATATAAACCAAACCGAGATTGTGTGTTGTAGATTTGAGCAACTTCAAGTGTCAACCAAGTTTAAACATCGAAGTACCTACTGTGATGTGTCATTGAAATTCTATGGTTTGTCAGCTCCAGAAGGCTCACTTGCCCAGGTTTGTTGCCACATAAATGTCAGCATTGTTATTCACAGCATTAGGTTTTAAGTTGGTGACGGGAAAATGTGATGTGAGTTCGAAACTGTTTTGTACGAATTTTTTTCTTAACTTAGTAACATTTTACAAATTGTAGGGTTTTTTTATTTATAAAATTGTTACTTGGTACTTACTTCAACTTTTTCTCTCAAATATTAGTGGATTTCTGATATTAATTTGACATGGAATCAAAATGGTGTTGTACTTTAAATTTACATTTGTGTTGGGCAAGGTTATTCATCTGTTCTTCCTTTCTTTTTTCTCTTTTGGCAGAGTGTCTCTAGTGAGAAGAAGGTGAATGCTCTAGCTGCTAGCTTTGTGTACAATCCAGTTGGAGAGAATGTTGACTGGAGGCTGTCGGCTACAATTTCTCCCTGCCATGTCACGGTGATTGTCCAATCTTTGAATATAGGGAGATAGAGGGAGTGAAACCTACTTCAAAGAACCATCTTCTTGAAGTCGTTACTTGCATGGATCCCTAAGGCTCAATTTTGGTTTTATTTGCATTCCCCCCTTTCGTTCAACATCCCTTTTTACATGGAGCTTGATGAATCTTTTTTTATTTGCAGGTTTTAATGGAAAGCTTTCATCGCTTTTTGGAATTTGTGAAAAGGAGTAATGCAGTTAGTCCTACTGTTACATTGGAAACTGCAACTGCTTTGCAGGTAATGTTATCATCTTTGTTATTATTTTTGATTTGATATGTCTAACATGATCATAATAGTGTTGGATTAACCTTTTATCCTTCATTTCTGAGAGCAGATGAAAATTGAGCAAGTTACTCGTAGAGCACAGGAGCAATTTCAAATGGTATTAGAAGAACAAAGCAGGTTAATATACATTATTATTTCTTATTTCACTAATTAATACCTCTAGTCGTTCAGCTTTAAGTGTAAACATCTAAACTTGTTTTTTCTTTCCAATGCTCATATGTTGATCGGAAAATTATATTGGCCATGAACTGATTACGTCTGATGGTGTAAAGTATTGGGTATTCAAGGAACATGGTGCTTTTCTTAAAAAGAATATGGTGAAGGTGGACAGTGTTGACAGAAGAAGAAATTTTTTTTGGGAGAAGAAACGAAATTTATAAAGCAAAAGAACACGGAGGTGGATAAGACAACCACAACCGGAGAACAACACCAACACACAAAGAAACAAACAACACCAACCCCTCCCAAACTAACAGGGAGGAACAAAGCCAAAAAACCACTGAAACAACACACCCCCCAACCCTCACATAACCACTGCTGCCATATCCCTCAAAATATTAGAAACAGAATAATCTTTAAAATCTTCAGTAACAGAAGCCCACAAAGCTGCCCAGTACTTAACTCTATCCCACAAATCACTCACTCCCACCCCCTTGTAGTCTTCAAAAATTCTCCTATTACGCTCCATCCAAATGTTCCAGAAAACAGAGTGAAAGTAGGGGTGTCAATGGCAGTTAGGATAAGATAAGACTGAGTAGGCTAAGACGTTGCTTTTCATGCACGATTTGAAGACCAATACAGATGTGTTGTGGTGGTGAAGGGGAGTTGTTATGGTTAGTAGTGATCTAAGTTTGTCAAGTGGTCAAAAGTACTTGGTTGTATAGTGAGAGCGAATAATTTCTTGGTTGCTATAGTGATGTTTCCTAATAATTGTGAGAAAGAAACTGGTGACGATAAGTCCCTTGCATTTGCATTTGTATAATTAATCTGAAAAATGTTGCAGTAGAGCTCGAATATTGTTTTGCATTATCTATGGTCAAGTGTTCATTTGATAGAGAGATGGTTTTATGACATGGAGGTGAGTATTTTGTGAGGGTTGGAGCATCCTTAGCATTTAGATTTTGCAACTAGTTTCTGTAATGCTGAGTTTTTAGTTTCTTGAATAGGCTTGAGCTCCAAGTTTTATGGGAAACAAAACTTTCATTAACTAGAAAATAAGTTCAAAAATAGTGAACAAGGAGTCCACATCTTTTAAAAATTTGAAGCCTGCAACAACTCTACCCTACGGGAGATACATCAACACATTAACCATAGAATTGTAAAAAACGACAGAACAGCTGCTTTCCAATCTGGTAAAATAACAAAGAAGGAAAACTCTCTAAATACCGAAGTCCAAAGCTACAGACGTCTACAAATAAGCCTAAGCACTACACGATATCCCATAAGCACTCCACGTAGAATTCAACAAGCACATTCTCAAATACCCTTTTATCCCTTACCACCCATAATACCTAGAAATTTGCCATCTTAGCACATATTCCCAGACCAACAATTAAAAATTAGAGCTCAACTAGAATTGAGCTGTATTGTTAATTGATTAACATTTCTTCATAGCTTTAGGTGCAAATTGGAAACAAAGTGTAAATGCTTTTCTATCTCTATTTTGTTTGTATTCATTCTGTACACTCGAAAGAAAACGAGTTTTCAACTTTTGACTTACATTACTTATCCTGTTTCAGGTTTGCTCTTGATATTGACTTAGATGCTCCAAAAGTAAGAGTTCCCATAGGAACTTGTGGCTCTTCCAAATGCGATAGCCATTTTCTTTTAGATTTTGGTCATTTCACGCTGCACACCAAGGTATGCCTTTTTTTATTTATGTAACTTTTAAAAATTGCCTCAGGTTGAATTTGCATTGCCTGAAATGATAAATAATCACTGCAGGATAGTCAGCCTGATGAACAGAGGCAGAACCTATATTCTCGGTTTTTTATAACTGGAAGAGATATTGCTGCCTTTTTTATGGATTCTGGTTCTGACTGTCAAAGTTGCACTTGGGATGTACCCAATAATGATAATCACCCGCTTTTATCTCCTTCCCCAGACAATGTTGACAATTTTTATTCTCTCATAGATAGGTGTGGAATGGCTGTACTTGTTGATCAGGTACTTTATCTTGTCGCTCTCCTACTTTTTAAACAAATACTATTTTATGTATGAGCTCTAGTCTGGCTTCTTTTAGTTATTAGAATCATTCCTAATAATAGCTATGCATCTTTTAATTGAAGATCAAAGTGCCCCACCCAAATTACCCGTCAATGCGGATTTCAATTCAAGTGCCAAACCTTGGGATTCACTTTTCACCATCAAGGTTTCAGAGGCTTATGAAACTGTTAAACATATTCTATGGTACTTTGGAAACTTGTGGTCAGCCTGCTGTTGATGATTTTCAAGCAGAAACTCCATGGAGCCCTGCAGATCTTTCTGGAGATGCTAGAATTTTAGTATGGAGGGTATGTCCTCAATTCTAAGGACAACAAGTTGGTAGTTTTCTTAATATTTCTGTGCCTGGTGTTAATTATTCCTCTTTTTTATTTTTATTTTCTTTTCAGGGGATTGGCAATTCTGTGGCTACATGGCAACCATGTTTTCTTGTGTTGTCGGGAATAAATCTTTATGTGTTGGAGTCTGAAAAGTCACAGAGTCACCAGCGACACTCAAGGTTGCTTTTCTCCTTTCTCTCTCCCCCACCCCTCTCTTTTTTTTCTATTTTCCTCATCTATTTTGTTTTCTTTCTGGTTCTCTATTGTTGTATTTTTGTTTAGATTATATTAATAAAATTATGATGTATTTTAACTTTTTTGTTTGATAAGTAAAAGATAAGTTTACCTGAACCAGGTGAATTTTAGGTAGAGGGAGCATACATAAGAAACACCAGAAATTTACAACCGAAATTTCACTGAATCATCATCAGATCCTGAGTTAAAGGATTAACGGGACTAGCCAACAATGGGATCATATTCGCAACATTGCTATATTGATGTCTTGGAACACAGAACATTATGACTTTCTTGCAAATGAGAAATGAAAGAGGAGATGATCCACTGTCTCATCACTACCTTTGCACATATAGCCCAATCAACCCTCCAAACGCTGGCAAGAAACATGCCATCTATCCCTTAACAACTGATAATAAGGTCTACATTTAATAATACCCCCTTTGCGAGGGAGCTACTACAGCTTATCAGGTTCCTTCCTCCTTATCCTTACAGAGTACAACAAATCCAGAAATGCACAAACAGGCTCTAGTTTCAAATGTGTGCCAACTTATTAAAAGTTGGAGCCCACTGAAATCCCCCATTTGATAGAGTCTCAAACCATATAATCAGTGATCAATGCTTCTTTGTTCGAAGCAATAAGATAAAGCTCTGTAGGAGATCTATCAAGGAGTACCGCAGTATACGTCATGCCAAAAGCTAGTTCTATGCCCATCATCCACCTTAGTGCAATAAGATTAGAGGAAGAGGTCAACCTCGTCCCAATTCTCTCCCAAACTCCTACTCTATAGGACCCCATCACTTGATTTGTACGCCCAAAAAACCCCACCTGAGCACACTCATGTAAATTGCTTTTCCTCTTCTTTGCCCTACGGTTTGGTTTCTTGAGTAATATGAAATTTTTTGATTGGGTATTTCTTTTGCTATTATTTCCTGCAATTGAATGTTTTATGCTCCTAACGGAAAATCTTTTCATTGGGATGCTACAGCATGGCTGGCAGACAAGTGTATGAGGTTCCTCCAGCCAACATTGGTGGTTCATCGTTTTGTCTCGCTGTGAGTTACAGGGGGATGGACAATCAAAAGGTGTGTCAAATTTGGTTGAAGTGATATTTTAACATTAAGGATATATCCTTTTTACTTAAAACTGAAAAAATGGCAAGGAAGCGTTGAGTCTTAGCATATGCCAATTTGCTTTCAAACATATCTTCACCGTGCCACTCATTCTTTTGTCAATCGTTTGGAGAAGCAGCAATTACAGGGGAATTGAAAAGTTATATCTGTGCTTTAGACTCTATATCTGGATGTTTGGATTGCGGAAGAACATACATATGTTTATGTTTATTTTGTTCTAGTCCTTGTGCTTGGTGCTGGGATTTTTTTCCTTCTTTAGATTTAATTTTTTAGTTTAATTTTTGTTGTTGCATATTTGTTTCTTTTGCAGGCTCTGGAGTCTTCTAGTACCTTGATTATAGAGTTTCGGTCTGAGGAGGAGAAGGCCATTTGGTTGAAAGGACTTATACAAGCCACATATCAGGCTTCTGTACGATATAAAATCTCGCTCTTGGATCTTAAATGTCCTAATTTATTTATATCCTTGGTCCTTATTTTTGAAATTTGTATTTATTCTGGATATAGGCTCCTCCGTCAGTTGATGTTTTGGGAGGAACAAGTGATCCTGTCACTGACTTTGGTGAACCACAGATCATGAACTCAAAAACAGCTGACCTTGTCATTAATGGGGCATTGGTGGAGACAAAGTTATTTATATATGGAAAGGTTAGTGTTTCTTTCAGTAGATCCATCTTGTCAAAGTAACTACAGGGTCCTCATCATTCTTGGTTTTGGTTATTTTAGCAAATTTATAGCCATGCATAATTGTTCTTTAGGAGGCAATGAAGACAGAAGGAAAAAAGTTACAAGCCTACTGATTAAGCACTTTGAATTTTTTTTCCTTCTATTTTGTATTGTGCAGACTGGTGATAAACTTGATGAAGAACTTGGTGAGACTCTTATTCTTGAAGTTCTTGCCAATGGGGGGAAGGTTTGTGTGACTATTTCATACTCCGTTATGATTTATGACAGCTTGTGTCTTGCGTTCACGTGAAAATTTTGGGTGTGAAAGTATATGAGATTTGAAAGTAATATATATATACTGAGATTGTTGTCTTGTTCATCTTCATGATTGTTTCTATGTTTCTGATCTCACTTGCATATTTGCATCAGAATAGTTGGGGTGTGGGCGGGGAAGAAGTTTCCCTGTAATTTGCTTTTTTCACTATCTTCTTGTTATGATGTACAAGTGTTCTTGGGTCCTTGTCATGTGTAAGTGTTTTGGTATTAAATACTAGGCCATTTTCTTTTACAGCTACACATGAGTCGTTGGGAAGGTGACCTGACGCTTAAGATGAAACTGCACTCTTTGAAAATCAAAGATGAGCTTCAAGGTCGCCTGTCAACAACCCCACAGTATTTAGCTTGCTCAGTGCTGAATAATGACAATTCAGTTTCTTCTCCTGTGATAATTGATCCACACTGGAAAGAAATGTCTACTTTGCTTCATGCGGATGATGATACTTTCACAGATGCCTTGCCAGATTTTATGTCTATATCAGATGCAGCTTTTGGTTCACAAATTATGAATATGGATACAAGTGCAACAGCTGAGGACATCAATGATGGTACTAGATATGCTTCTACTGACGACTTGATTCTTGAAAAGAATCTGGTAAAGGGAAAGGTCATTTCTGGAGAGATATTTTATGAGGCGGAGGGCGGTGATAATTCAAATTTTGTATCTGTTACCTTCTTGACTCGGAGTTCTTGCTCGCCTGATTATGATGGTATTGATACACAGGTAGTGATTGACATGGGCAGTTGACCTAGTTAGAGATCCTTGATCTTTAATGTATTTGTTTAATTATCAATGACAAACTAAATTAATTTAAGCTTTGTTTCTAATAAAATAGAAAAAAAGTTTAATTTGCACACTGACCCTTTGTACTGAATTTTTGTCAGATGAATCTCCGCATGTCCAAACTGGAATTCTTTTGCAACAGACCCACTCTTGTTGCTTTAATTGATTTTGGCCTGGATTTAAGCTCTGTGTACTGCACGGAAAGTAGTGCAGACATGAGTAAACTTTCAGATGATAAACCTTTGATGAACAAAGAAAAGATTGAAGAAAATGGGCGTGTGAAAGGGTTGCTGGGTTATGGTAAGGGTCGTGTAGTATTTTATTTAAACATGAATGTTGACAGTGTGACTGTGTTTCTTAACAAGGAGGATGGCTCTCCATTTGCAATGTTTGTGCAAGAAAGTTTCCTGCTGGATCTCAAGGTGATGGGAATATTGTGATTAATAATTATTTAAATCTTCGTTTTTTATTTCAATATGTGTGACACGTAAGTAGTATTTTTAGTTGAAATTTACTTTTATGTGTACTTTCAGTTGATATTCAGCTTTTGTTAACTGTATCAACTGACTTGAGTTATTTGTTCCTTAAGGTGCACCCAAGTTCTCTTTCCATTGAAGGCTCCCTTGGAAATTTTAGACTCCGTGATATGTCTCTTGGAACAGATCACTGTTGGGCTTGGCTTTGTGATATACGTAATCCAGGTGTTGAATCGCTTATCAAGGTACAGATGACCCTTTTGATCAACTATTGCATTGCGGACATCCAATTTGTTTTATTAAGATATTTCTTCCCTTCTATGAGATACTATTATCTTTTCATTTGTTTTGCAGTTCAAATTTAATTCTTATAATGCTGAAGATGATGATTATGAAGGATATGATTACAGTTTACGTGGCAGACTTTCTGCTGTCCGCATTATATTCCTATATAGGTTTGTTCAGGAGGTATGTTTGACATTGCTGACAAATTCATGGGGATGTATTATTGTTTGCAACCCAAATGCTTTAAGTTTATATTTTTGGGGTTTTATATTCTTTATTTTATTGTTAATGATAATTTATCTTTGTTTTGAATTATGAAATATTTTATGGGCATGCTAATGCAGATAACAGTGTACTTTATGGAACTTGCCACCCCACATACTGAAGAGGCAATCAAACTTGTTGATAAAGTTGGAGGGTTTGAGTGGCTAATTCAGAAATATGAGATTGATGGAGCTACAGCGTTAAAGCTGGATTTGTCACTTGATACTCCAATAATTATTGTTCCGAGAAATTCAACAAGCAAAGAGTGCGTAAATTTGAATGCTAGTTCTTACTGGATAATGTATATCCGATTTACTTAGAAAGTTGAGTTGCATTTGGATGAATGGATTGAGAACTATCTGATAAAGGGTATTAAATAAAAGTTATGAAAATGGTTCTGTTCAAATTTCAAACAGTTAGCAGATGAATAGTTGTCACAGATTAGAGGGGCATAGTGTGGCGTTGATAAAGAGAGGTGAAAGCTTTAGTGCCATTGCTGGTGGTGCTGCTTTTGATTGAGGTGCCTGCAGTGGTGCCGTGCTGAAGAATATGCTGGTGTTAATAGTGGCTGCAATGAGGCAGTGTATAACTGAAGAATTTGTTGGAGTACCATAACTCCAGGATTTTGTTGCTTAATGACCGGATTTATGACTGGATGTTAGATTTTCAAAGTTGAATGCATTTGTTATACCAGTATTGAATATTGACATTGTCTCTATGTTTTGTTCAATTGCAGTTTCATTCAACTTGATTTGGGCCAGCTAAAAGTCACAAATGAATTTAGTTGGCATGGTTCCCCAGAGAAAGATCCTTCAGCTGTCCATATTGATGTCCTTCATGCTGAGGTAGATGATTATTGTTTTTTTGTACATCATGATTGAAATACGGAATTATTCATTACCTCTGACATAAAATTGCAGATTCTGGGGATCAACATGTCTGTAGGAATTGACGGTTGCTTGGGTAAATCAATGATACGAGAAGGCAAAGGACTTGATGTTCATGTGAGGAGAAGTTTGAGGGATGTCTTCAAAAAAGTCCCAACATTTTCTCTTGAAGTGAAGGTAACTTTTGCTTGTGAAATTGTAGAATTTCATTGCATTTATCTTTCTGATCTTGCTGCAGGTTTCACATCTTTGGTAGGCATTATGTTGGTGGGGGGCAGTTCATCTTATGGTTGTTTATATTTACATAGGGTGGTAGGGTAGGGTTCATCTTGTGGTGGTTGGTAGTTGATACATGTATTGGATGATATCAAGTACATGGGGTTCAACAATATAATGTTTCACATGGTGAACATACTTGGGACTTTCTGGGCATTTTGGATCGATCCTTGATCTTTTTGTATTCAATAGATTGGGACAACATGTTATATGGTTTGTGTCTTTACTTATTCAGCTTGATATGATTTTTTTAGATTCCACTTCATATGGTTCAAATTCTTAATTAACTTTATTTTAATTGTTCAACTGTTTTTGCTTTCTAGACGGCTACATAGTTGCATGAATTTGACATTCCTGAATTTCAAATAGGTTTTGAATTGATGTTCTTCAGTCTTTCAGTTTATTGGATTTTTACTGTCAGGCATGCAGAATGTCACAATCATCTTGTTGAGTCCTTTTGATTGTCTTAAACTAGGTGGGCTTATTGCACGCTGTCATGTCTGACAAAGAATATAAAGTCATTCTGGACTGTGCATTCATGAATTTATGTGAAGAGCCAAAGCTTCCCCCTACTTTCCGTGGTGGCAAATCTGGTACGAAGGATACAATGAAGCTGCTGGTTGATAAGGTCAACATGAATAGTCAAATCCTTCTATCACGAACTGTGACCATAGTGGCGGTTGTAGTCGATCATGCCCTGTTGGAGTTGTATAATGGCATTCATGCTGAGTCTCCTTTTGCTCAAATTGCTGTGAGTATTTACATCAGTTATATTTTGGTGAAGTTTATTCTCAAATTATTATTTTTTGAATAGAAACTTTATAAATTCAAAGGAGATAAACAAAGAAACAAGCAAGTGGATAAGGAATCGACAAGAGCAAAACAAAAGAAAACAGGAACCTTAAGACCAAAACAAACAAAGGAAAGAAGGACAAAAACAAACAAGAAGGCCACCCAGGAAAAAAGAAAAGAGCAACACATCGCTTCACAACCGCTAACAAATCTCTCATAATAGAAGAGAGAGCCAAATCCTTAAAAACAGGAGTGACCAAAGCCCATAACGCTGCCCAAAACTTCACTGTATCCCACATCTCAGCCACCCCCACGCCCTTGTAGTTCTAAAAAATTCTTCTGTTACGCTCCAACCATAAGTTCCAGAACACTGCATGCACCAAGCAACCCCACAGAACTTTAGCTTTCTTCCCCCTACTCAGCGCATCAATCTTGTAGGATAACAGCTGAAAGCAACCTTTAGGTCCTGTTTTAGCTTCTCTGAGATTTCAGCTTTTATTTTGGTGTTAAGATTTTGAACAAAGAGTGGTTGGTTGTTTTCTGACATGGTATGTTTTCTCCGAACATGTGGTTATGGATTTATGTAATTGTTTCTCTGCTTTACAGCTAGAAGGTCTTTGGGTATCATATCGGATGACTTCATTGTCTGAGACAGATCTCTACATAACCATTCCAAAGTTTTCTGTGGTTGACATTCGCCCTGATACAAAACCTGAAATGCGCTTAATGCTTGGATCATCCACTGATGCTTCTAAACAAGTTTCTTCTGGAAGTTTGCCATTTTCTTTGAACAAGGGGAGCTTTAGAAGAGCAGACTCTGATGCTGGATTTCATGTGGATTTACCAGTATCAACAATGTTCTTGATGGACTATAGATGGCGTAAATCATCCCAATCATTTGTGGTTAGG